TCCCAGACTTGGAGCCTGTGGTCTGTTCTTCAGTCAGCCGTCCTCCTTCACCTCCTCGCTCCTCCCTCTGGTCATGACTTGGCCAAAGGAGTCGAGAAAAAAGACTATTTCTTAACCTGAAATGTATCTTTTTCTGTTGGAGTTCCATGATTTTTTGTGTTTATTAAAAGGGCAAGAATCACGCGATACACTGGCAACGATACAATATATTGTGATACTGTAGCCATGACGATATATTGAGGTGTCGCTTCTCCCCACCCCCCCGGTGTCACTGTAGTCCAAGTGTGATCCTAGTCTCAGACTCGTCAACCAGGGGCGGCCATCTTTATTTTAACAAACGTAGGGTTCAGGTGTCTATAAAAAAACGTTGGCTTTCTCTTGTACTACTACTGTAGTAGCAGCTGTGTACGACGCACTGTTTTTACGTTGTATTTTTTTTCTCTGATCATGTGATGTTAATGGAACGTAAATCTGTGACAAGATGTTAAAATAATAAATCAAGAGAGAGAGAGAGAGAGAGAACAATTACTTGGAGTGCGATAGGCTGATACAGCAAAAACGACTGGAGCCGTCACTCTTGCCCCCTAGTGGTTTAAAATGACACATCAGGCCTGTTAGTGTTGGCGCTTTCTCTGCTCAATCTGTCATTTTCCTCTAAATGGGGTTTAATTTTACGAATGGAAGGAAATGAAAGAAAATCGACTTTGCAGTAATAAGAGTTTGATACCCCCCTCCACCTCCCTGTACTTCCCCCAGGCCCTTACACACTCCCCCTTGTGTTTTTTATGAATAATATGTTCTGATGTAGAGCTTGAAGAGTAAACGATCAACTTGATGTCACTCGGGGAAATACCAGCATCTGAACAGCAGGGGTCGGAGGGACGGGGTGAGAGAGCAGAGCAGACACACACACAGAGAGAGAGAGAGAGAGCAGTTCAATCCAGTTCCAACCGTTCCGTTGCCACAGGATACTCATTTGTAATTCTGCACCCTGCCTACAATAACATTTGATCATCGCAGAGAGGGGACAGGGAGGAGGGGGAGGCGAAGAAGTGAGCTGATGCTTTCTCCTTCTTGTTTTTCACCCCCCGCCCCCTCCTCCCTTTCCCCTTAAACCTCTACCCGCCCTCGCTCAATTGCTGTCACCCAGTATGAACACCCCCTCTGGCCCCAACGACAAGCCTAGCGAAACGCTTGGCTGCGCCCTGAAATTAGCCGTAGCGCCCCGGGCGGCGCATGCTTCTCCTGCCTGGTGCAGTGGGCCGCCGTCAGATTCTTTTCATTAGGCCGGTGGTCTGACAGCCCTCCTACCCCCGGCCTCCCTCTCTCCTACTCCTCCTCATCCCGTCTGTGCGTCCGGGAGTCGATCGCATGACCGTCGAAGGGAAGCGACGGACAGAGGAGGAGCGCGGACCTTAACGGTACATGTTTATGTGTGGATTAGTGAAGCAGCAGCCTAGTAACGGCACAGATGGGGGGGACGGAGGGGGTGGAGAAACCGCAGCAGCCTCGGTGCGGAGTGTTGCCTGGAGGCTAACTCTGAGCTGCACTCCATCATATTGTCAGGCGGCAACATCACATCACTGCAGAGGGGCACTGTCAGTTGCCCCCCCACCCCCCGAGGGCCACTTCAAGTCAACATCCCATTTCCTTTGCCTCCTCGCCCAATTTCGTCTTTGCCCCAACTTAAATTCCCGGTGTCAGTGTCGCCGCGGTGCCTCAGTGGGCTTGAGGCCAAGTCAAGGCGTCAGGGGCTGAGACTTGCTGCTGTCCGCCCTGAAGGACTTTTTTTTTTGCCCCAATATTTTTTAAAAGTCTTCTCCGACAAAATATATATCTGTGGCGTAAAAAAGAAATCGCCCTGGAAGACGGTATATGGTGGTCAGGTGACAGTGGTCAGTGATCAGTGGTTGGTGGACGATATATGATGGACAGAGGACGGTGGTTGGTGGACAGTAGACAGTGGTCGGTGGACAGTGGTCAGTGGTCATTGTCTCCTGGTGTAAACAGAGTTTCCTCTGTATTTCCTCCTTCAGTTCCTCCTTCATTTTCTTCTTCTTTGTTCTGTTCAAACCTCCAGTCCAGTGGGAAACATTAGTTCCTAGAACTGCTCACAATCACTGCACTCTCTGATCCATGGCAGAGACCTTATATCTGTGACGCCCCCTAGTGGAGAACATTCAGGTGGGCTGGTTCTGTTGGCTCACATTAACGAAGTCTGTCTCTGTCCCTGTGGGGGGAGAGAGAGGAGGGTCCATTACCACCTCCTGTCTCCTTCATCTACCGGTGCACGTGCTCTGACTGACACATTGGCTCCTCCTTCACCTCCTCCTGTGTCCACTGTGTCTGTGCAGAGTAAATGTCAGAGCCCAGTGTGGAAACATCTTCACCAGACGTCTGTGGACTGGATGTCAGCTCATGGTGTCCTCATGTCTCAGTGTTCACCCCCCCACACGTCCCACCAACGCCCCCACCCCTCATCCTGCCTCCCCACCCTGACTGGAACACAAGTCAACCATGAAGATCAGAATAAACCTGTTAACAACTGCACTATAGTTGCCTATGCCTATAGTATCGCAATATATCGTATCATTGGTACCTGTGTCGCGATATGTATCGCAGGATTCTTTCTTCTGCTTCTCGAACACCCTGACCAATCAGCAGGCGGGAGACCAGGTTTCACCCAAACTCCAGTGAAGGTCCACTGGTCTGAGAAGAACCTGACATCAGACTGGGACTCACAGCTGGTTCTGGTTCTGATGAAATGACGATCGATGTGCAGATGTTCGAAGACGGGACGGGTCGGGACGAAGACTGAGCGTCTCGGCGTCGTCTTCTCCTCCTCCTTCCTCGGCTCAGAACATCTGTTCTTCGTGTCAGTTGATTCCAACCCAGGTTTATGGCGAGGACCACAGCAGCGGCCCCCGTCTTCCCTGTCTTTCCCCCCTAGTGACTACTGAAAGTCCGGGCTGAGGGATCTCTCTCTGTCTTTGATTTAGTGGAGCAGGAGGACGGTGCTCCAGGTTCACCCCACCCATCAATCTGCCCCGCGGCGGTCCTCCGCCACGGACCTCGCTGCAGAACTTTTCATGGAAGCGAATCGGAGTCCTTTGGCCGATCTCCGATGTGTTCCCATGATTCTGAGTTAACATTAGCGTCTGCTTGGTTTGGCCCCAGGTCAGGACTACATCTGTCCTCACCTCAGCTTGATTTACAGTGGCTCCTGTGGACTGAACCAGAACCCTGGACCAGAAGTTCCTCTGGAGCTCCTTCTCGCTCCTTGCTCCCAGGCTAAACCTTGGTTTTTATGACTGAGCTTCGTCTTCAGTTTTTTGTTTTTTTTTTTCTCCTCCCTCTGGTCGATATGGTTTCTTCTCAGCAGAGTTTTTTTTTTTTTTCTCACCCTCTCACTCCCTCCGGAGCCTACATCTTCACTCAGATCGATACTTTCCTAATCCGCAGCTCCTGGCTGACTGAGGGGTAATCAGTCGACTTCCCATGCTGTCTGCCGGAGAGGTCGCGGGGGTCAAATGGCTGTATAGATTTAATCCTGCGATCAAATCACTTTGCTAGGCAGGGGTTGTAGAAACAGCTGAGGGGGAGGGGTGGTGGGGTCAAGAGCCGTCCCATTTTTCTCTCCGTGTTCTGGAGAGTCGGGGATATAAACGTGCCTCACTCTGCTGTATTTATCTGAAGAGGGGAGGGTGTGCGGGGGTGTATGTGGGCTGAGGGGGAGAGTACTCGGAGTATTTTGGCTCACGGCCGTTGTACCAGGGATTTCCATGTTGTTTGCAAAAGTCTTAGGCAGCCACACATTTAAAACCAGTCCCAACAACATCACACACCGTACAGTACAGTACTGGTCGCTGGCACCGAGCTAACACGCTGACGCTAATGCTAACGCTAACACAACAGGCTTCAGATTGACTTGGACTCACATTCAGACTTCATTTGTCATTTGGATTTTCATCGCGATGGAATGACAATGAAAAATAATGAATGAATGAGTGAATAAATGAGTGAATGAATGAATGAATAAGTGAATGAATGAGTGAATTAATGAATGTGTGAAGGAATGAGTGAATGAATGTGTGAATTAATGAATGAGTGAATAAGTGAATGAATGAGTGGATGAATGAGTGAATGAATGTGTGAATGAATGAGTGAATGGATGAGTGAATGAATGAGTGAATGAGTGAGTGAATGAATTAATGAATGAGTGAATGAATGAGTTGATGAATAAATGTGTAAACGAATGTGTGAATGAATGAATGAGTGAATGAACTAGTGAATGAATGAGTGAATGAATGTGTGAATGAATGAGTAAATGAGTGAACGAATGTGTGAATGAATGAATGAGTGAATGAATGAGTGAATGAATGAGTGAAAGAATGAATGAATGTGACAAACTGTAACTGGCGATGTTTGCAAGAATGTGGCGTTACGATACGTATCACGATACAGGGACTTAGACAGCGATACGACATATTGTGATATACTGTGATACTATAGGCGCGACATTTTTTTTTTTTTTTTTAATACACTGTTCCTTTAGTCAAACTGTCTTCACAGTGAACACACCGTGCTGTTCCATCAGTGTGTAGCTAACAGCCTAACTGGTCGTTCACCACAGTATCCATCCTCTTGTATCTATGGCCCCCTCCAATCCCCCCCTTCTGTCTCTGAGCCTATTTCCATCTTGACGCTCTGCTCCAATCCCTGCTCTCTCGTCCAATGATCAGCCTCATGCTGTGTCCTTGTAGGAGTACGCCTCCGTCTTTGACACCTCATCACCGCCTGATGGGGGCGCATCCCCCCCCTTTAACTCTGAGGGGTGGGATGGGTCAAGCCAATCAAAAGTCTCCTAATAAGTCTCTTCAACCTCACTCTTTCACGACAAGCACTCTACACTGGCCCTACAGGCGGCACAGAAAATCACATGTGAAGTGATCCTGGAGGAGACATTTCTGACTCCGCCTCTGTCTTTTCTTCTGTTTCAGCGTGACGGCGAGAATGAGGTCGACGACAAGGTAGGATGTTTGTTCATCAACGTCAGAGGTCAAAGTCGGAGTGAACAGCACGCCTTCTCCAGAGAGGGTTTGTCATAAAACTGTACTTACTGTGAGTAGTACTGTAGATGGACCTGTCTGTATGTGAAGGTACTACAGTACTACAACAGTCCGACTTTTATTTTCTAAAACCGTATATTTGATCTGTGATTAGAGGGAAGTGTCGTCTGCTGAGGAAACAGGAAGTGGAAAAAGAGGAAGTGGAAAAACATTTGGAGGCTTTGATTGGACCTTGAACTGAGAGAGTGGTGTTGATGGACAGGAAGACAAAGACAGTCATCATTGGTCGGCTGCTCTGAGGGACAGTGGTCGGTGGTCGGTGGACGGTGGTTGGTGGACAGTGGACAGTATGTGGTGGTCAGTGGACAGTGGTTGGTGGACGGTATATGGTGGTCAGTGGACGGTGGACGGTATATGGTGGACAGAGGACGGTATATGGTGGACAGTGGTCATTGTCTCCTGGTGTAAACAGAGTTTCCACTCTATTTCCTCCTTCATTTTCTTCTTCTTTGTTCTGTTCTAACCTCCAGTCCAGTGGGAAACATTAGTTCCTAGAACTGCTCACAGTCACTGCACTCTCTGACCCAGTGGTCCCATGGTCAGAGACCTTATATCTGTGACCCCCCCCCCCACCAGTGGAGAACATTCAGGAACATTCATTCTGGTGCACGTGCTCTGACTGACACATTGGCTCCTCCTTCACCTCCTCCTTTGTCCACTGTGTCTGTGGAAACATCTTCACCAGACGTCTGTGGACTGGATGTCAGCTCATGGTGTCCTCATGTCTCAGTGTTCACCCCCCCACACGTCCCACCACTGCCCCTCATCCAGCCCCCCCCACCCCGACTGGAACACAAGTCAACCATGAAGATCAGAATAAACCTGTTAACAACTGCACTGTACTGTACTGTACTGTACCCAACTGCATTGTACTGTACTGAACTGTACTGTACTGTACTGTACTGCAATGTACTGTACTGCACTGCACAGAACTGTACTGCACTGAACTGAACTGCAAAGTACTGTACTGCACTGTACTGTACTTTACTGTACTGTACTGCAATGTACGGAACTGTACTGCACTGTACTCACCTCATTATTATTGGATTATAATTAGTAGTAGTAGTACTAGTAGTAGTACTAGTAGTAGTAGTAGTAGTACTACTAGTAGTAGTAGTAGTACTAGTACCTGGAGAAAACCCACTCCTAAGTCTGTACATAAAGAAAAGCAGTTGGAGTTGGGCATCAAACGTGTGACCCTCTTGTTGTGGATCAACATTACAAACCGCNNTCTTCCACCGTGCGGTCTATTATTATAATATATTTATATATATTTTATTCTTCGTTGTTATTATTATTATTATTATTATCATCGTCTAATGTGTCGACCCGTGTGATCGTCCGTCCTCATCCATTTAAGGAAACCAGATTCAATCCATCTGGGACACGGCGGAGAAAGCGGAATGTCTCGCCGCCTCCTTTAATCTAAAACCAATTTGCCGGTAATATTCCTGCCTCCGCGACCTGGGATTTGCCTCGACTCCAAATGGAGGTGGAATGAAATGAGAGCGAGGCTGACTGGTCGCATTTGGCTCCCCGCAGACGCTACGAAATTAGAAGTGACACCGGCAATCAGTCCTTCGTATGAAGACGTCGTCAACCTCCGCTCTCTCTCTCTCTCTCTCTCTCTCACTCTCTCTCTCTCTCTCTCCTCCTTCTGTTTCCTGTGCACAGTGATCTCCTCGCATCATTTTATTTTGCTGCAGTGGCATAAGCTCCAGTTGTTGATAAGACAGGGGGGTGGTGGTGGTGGGGCGGGGTCCCGATGACAGTCCCCCAGGTGGTTTTGTCAGGACCGTTGTTCTGTGGTCTGGTCCGTGGTCCAGTTTGGACACATTGGTTTTTGAGCCGCAGCTTTGACTCCAGGTGTTCAAGTTCTCGTCGGCCATTTTCTTCTAGAGATCTTGTTGTGACGGGTTATAGTGAGAAGGTAAACATTTAGACGAGTTCTAGTCCACGAGATTAAAAAAAGAAAAAAAAGATCACCAGGGACGATACTTAGCATTTAGGCTGTTATCGGTGTGCTAACATGTTAGCATTGATCTGCTCTGATTAAACTGGTCTGGTCTGGTTGACCTGGTTAACTGTCAATATATGAAACAACAACAGAAGAAGAGAAAAAACAGGAAGTGGAAAGAGTTCCACTGGAGAACACTGTTGGTGTCTGTGGAACAAGTTCATCCCACGTTCTGTTCCGACACCTGAACGTCTCCTAGCCTACGTAGGGACCTGACATCTGGGTTTAATAGCGGGTCACAACCAACATTTTTAGGTATATACTGCCACCTACTGTACTGGAGTGTGTAGTGTCATGGTACGACCAGCGACTTTTAATAGCGGGCCACAACCGACGTTTTTAGGCGCATACCGCCACCTACTGTACAGGAGTGTGTAGTGTCATAGTATGACCAGTGACTATTTGAGATAATAATTTAATTGGGCAAAGAGTTTCATAATCTCCCTGCAGTACCTCTACAAACCCTCAGGGGTTTGTAGGCCCCTGGTTGACGTCCTGTGCCTCTGCATCAATAAGAATCGAACCCCGGTCCTGGGTTTTTCCACACGTGTTCCTCCGGAGTCAGATGTAGGAAAGACAAATGTTTTTACGTATGTGTGCAATGTACGAACCAAGTGTTTCTGATTGTGTGTAAACACGAAGCCTAAGTGGATTTTCATTCAATAAACATGGTCGGACTTTAATGAGTTCTGGCTGGAAACACGAGACAGACGTTCTGTGTTTGGGAGCTGGCGCGCGACGACTCCCGCCGTCCCAGCGTTGGCTCGTCTGCTCCAGGCCGCCTAATGCAGAACGACCGGCTTTTCCTCCCGCAACAAATGGCAAACGCAATCAGGATTAAATATAGAATTCCCTGTTGTTATTAGGAATCAGCGCCGCTGCGGATAATGTTTCCCTGAAGAAGCGATGCTTCCTGCTTGGCTGGGAATACATCGGCAAATTGAACGTAGCCCCGCGACGGTTGCCATTAATGTTTACAGAGTCTCAGTTTCAGCCTCGGACAAAGAGGCCAGTCAGCAGCCGAGGCTCCGATGCATATTCCGAAACAGATTTATGGAGGGAGAACCATCGCACATTCATCACCAAGTCCTTTGGGTTCTGGTTTCTCCAGGGACCAGGTTTTGTCGGGTCGTCGTCGTGTGAAAGACCGTGGTCCGTGGTCTCCGTCATGATGGTGGTCTCCACACTGCACGGTCCTGGTGCTCAGGTCAAAGGGGGCGGGTCACAAAGGGCAGCCAATTGGAACTGAGCCATCATCGCAGAGCGGATTGATGCACTGAAATATTGCGATATTTGGTTTCACAATACTGCGTTGTGTGTTTACTTACTTATGATGACAGTTTTCCCGTTTAAAAAACCCCAATGTATCGTTGTATAGTATCGCGAAATGTAATAATGTATCGTATCGTGATACATATCGTATTGCCAGATTCTTGCCGATACACAGCCCTGGGAGTGAGTGACTCACGTTAACTGCCATGTTTGTTTTCTTCCTTGTTTATATTCAATCATGTACCCCAACTCCTAACCCCACCCCACCACTGAGGGGCAATAGTGACGTCTGCGTGATGTTAGTGATGTTGAAATAGATGAAATGAGACGCGATCGTTCTGAGATCATCAGATGTTTGAAGGACCTAGGTCGGATCTGAGAAAGTCGGATCCGTCCTGTCCAGACCGTGATGGATGTCAAACACGGGTACCATCTGGACCGGTCAGTCAGATTTGTCCACTTTTACCCTTAGAGTCAACGTGGTCGCAACCACCGACCGAAACAAACTCTTTATTAGAGAAAAAAACGACTGAGTCGGACCCGGAGCTCTGTCGACCCAGACGTGGTTCCGAGCCCAGGAGTGTGTGTACCCAGAGAGAGCACGGGTCTGAGATCGGACTGGAACACACACACCTACACGGGTTCCGGGACTCAGCTGCCTTCAATTAGAGCTGAAACCCGAGACCCCGCGGTCCCCGAGCGGCTCGGGCCTTGATGCTTTGATCTGCTGCGGTCAAGGGAGAAGGTACGGAGCTGGACGGATTACAGCGAAATAAATAATGATTTAATCAAAGGGTTAGCTCCATAAAAGGTAATGAGGGGGGAAGTAAAGATGGGGGGGGGGGGGGGGCAGGAAGTAGGTGTTAATGAACGGCTGTCATTCATGTTTATTTGCCTGTTTATTTTTCACTGAGCGGTAATTAGTCCACACACCTGGACCGTCTGCCTGGAGGTAACCGTGGAATTCCGCTGCCACGTCTCCGTTCGCGGCCGCTCGGCGCTCCTTCAGTGATGCTGACGCTGACGGGTCCGTTCTTGGTTGTTGGTTAGAGGACGTATCGCCGGTCTTGGGATGCACAAATGAAGTGCGTTCCGTTAAAATCCTGGAAGAATGGAGCCTCGGTGTCTGTCCGTCAGTACCGGCCCGCTGGTTCTCGTGTGCCCACAGAGATGCCAGGAGGCGAGAGGAGCTGTTGAGAAGGGAGAACACATGGCACTGACAGGCAGGATGCGACCCCTGCCAAACAAATGCAATGTAGTGCGTCACTGGCTGTGCAGGAGCCCAGTTTGAACCACGTCAGAATATATTCACACCACTCGACATCGACGGACACCAGACGAGAAATGTTCAAACGCAGATGGACAGAGAGGCCGAGGACGCTTTTCTTCTTCTTGGTCCAAATCTTCATCTTCGTCTTCGTCTTTTACTCCTTCCATTTCTCACAGCGGACCCCCTCCCCACTCTCTCCCGAATGTTTGTTTCCCACCTGGTGGTGACGGTGTCAAGTCACCCCCTGGAGGTGGAGCAGCTCAGGTCTGGGGCCCTGATGATACGATACGACTACAGTAGCCTTCGGATTTACACGGATCCAACGTAAACAAAATCTACGTC